AGGCCCATGACCTCTATCCATCTGACATGTGATTTCCCTCTTTCTATTAGCCTCAGTCTTTCCCAGCATTATTGCCTTTTCTAATGTGTCAGGCCTTCTCATGATGTGGCCAAAGTCCGACAGCCTCAATTTGATCATCTTGGCTTCTAAGGAGATTTCTGGCTTAATCTGTTCAAGGATGCATTTGTTTGTCTTTTTGGCCATCCATAGTATCCTTAGCACTCTTGTCCAACACCAGATCTCAAATGATTTGATACTCTTCCAATCCAGTTCTTCACTATCCAACACTTGCATCCATACATGGTGATGGAGAATACAAAGGCTTGGACGATTCTTATTTTAGTGTTCATTTGCATGTCTTTACTCTTTAGGCTCTTATTTAGTCCTTTCATAGCTGCCCTTCCCATTCCTAGCCTTCTAATTTATTGACTGCAGTCTCTATTCTTATCAATGTTTCATCCTAGGTATGGGGACTCTTTTACTATTTTCATTTCCTCGTTGTCTAGGTAGAATTTATGTATTTCTTGTGGTCCTTACTTTGGTTTTCTTTATGCTCAACATTATGCCTGCTTTTGCACTTTCTTTGACCTTCCTTGGTAACTGTTCCAAGTCTGTGATGTTTTCTGCTAGTAATATGGTGTCATCCACATATCGTAGATTGTTGATGTTCCTTCCTATCTTCACTCCTCCTTTTCTGCGTCTAACCCTGCTTTATCCACACCTGTAGACAAACGTATTCATATCTGTTATATTCCGTATATGATGTATTATATTGTGTCTTTCCTCCAGTGAGCTCAAAGCAGCACACATTGATCTCCTCCATTCTGCTTCATCTTCAAACAGCCCTGTAAGGTTAGTCAGGCTGGATGACTGGCCCAAGAGTAATCTGCAGCAACAAACCAGACTGAGAAGTGTTTATCTTCATCAAGAGCAGGGTTTTTGAAAAGTTAACAAGAATTAATTGCACATTCTAAAACCATGACACCCCAAAATACTTTGCATTGAAACAGATATTGTTCATTACAACATATTACTGCTGCAAAAAATCAAGCCTCCTAGTTCAATCCTGTGACGGCCCTACCATCAGACAGAGCAACGTGAACCACTCGTGCAACAGATTAAGAAGTCGTAGTGGTGGTGGTGGTGGTGGTAGTGATGGAGTCTCAAGTGTCCTTCTCTTTGGAGAATAGAGTTACAGATGCTGCCAAAACTGTCCTAGTCTCCCCAAAATAGCCTGCTAGTTGTGATGTGGCCAACCCAGTCAGCTCCTGTACATAGACTGAGGAGGAAATGCCATCTTGCCCTTTGTCTTGGCCAGTAAAATATCTGCCCTGTCCCTTCCCTTCCAAGTGACTGCAAAGTCTGCCACTAAACTCAAAGTGAACAGAGAAGCCAGAGGTGGGCATGGCACATAACATCACTATCCCCGCTCATCAAGTACAGTAGTCCCAGTGCTTTCTAACCTTGCAAAAGCAGATAAGAGGGAAATCAATGCATTGGAGATGTGGTGTTGAAGAGTGTTGAGGATACTGTGGATGGTCAAAAAAGCTAACAAATGGGTCCTTGAGCAAATAAAGCCAGAAATATCCCTGGAAGCCAAGATGATCAAATTCAGGCTATTGTACTTTGGCCCCATCTGAAGAAGGCATGATCCACTAGAAAAGACGGCAATGCTGGGAAAGGTAGAAGGCAGTAGAAAGAGAGGAAGACTTCATGCCATATGGACAATCAGGGAGGTCACGGGCCTGAATCTACCAGACAGTGAAGGATAGGGGGTCTTGGAGATGTCTCATCTGCAGGGTCACCATGAGTTGGGTCTGACTTGAGAGCATTTAATAACAACAACAAAAGCCTTGACTCCTCTGCATCACTCTCCATGAACCAACATAGCTTTGCCTGGCACACAGATGTTAAAAGCACCAAAGACCCCTGCTAAGCCCTTGATGGTAGACCTTTGGAGACCAAGCATGCCAACAGTATTGACTGGTACCGGAGGGAGGTGAGTTCTATGTTGATCATCCCAAACTGTTTTACAGCATCCAGACACATCCTTCTCCTGTTCCAGATCCCCTTTATCTTATCCCCCACTACAGGAATGTCTGGGGCGGGCGGCTCCCACATGGAAAGGCTATGGGAACGGTGAGGTTTACAGGAACTTGCAGTCCAGAAGGAAATGTTCTTATGCCTCCTGCACCCACTTGCAGTTTGAATTCAGGTTCCCATGGCAACCCGACATAATGGAAGACTTTCTCTCCCCCCTCTTAAATAATTTGACTTGTTGCTATGCCAACAGAGGGAGGGATACAGGATCAGAGGCTGAAATGCTCCCGTGTCCCATCCCCCCTCCCACACACAAACACACTGGAAAGGTCCAAAACGGAAGCCAAGCATCTCGCTTTGCAGAACCCAGCCTGAACAAAGCTAATGGATATTCCAGCACTGTTTGAAATATGTACATTTTGAAACATTCAGAACAGCTGGGTGCACATGTGGCCCACACTCCAAACCCAACTTGCAAGAAAAGCTTCCTACGTAGAGCTTGGAAAAGTTATCCTTTTGGACCCTATGAAGTGGTTCTCAAACTTTGGTTCTCCAGGTTTCATGCACCTCTACTTCCAGAAGCTCCAGCCAACTTGGCCAAAAGTCAGGAAGTCTGGGAGCTGAAGTCCAAAGCACCTGGAGGACCAAAATTTGGACCTTAACATCCACAATCCTTTGGACAGCATGGTCAATGGGGGAATTCTATGAGTTGTGCTTCCAACAAGTAACTTCCCAAGCTCTGATTATGTGACTTTAAGTGATGTCCTACTGGGTACAAGGCAATTTCTAAACCAGGATGAATGTCCATCCACTTCATATTCAAAGCACTACCACAAACAGATGGTTACACATAACAAGGCACACGGAAACTGGGCCTTTTGGATCATGGTGGTCCCCAAATAGGTTAGACTTCCTTAGGGCATCCTGGCTGGGACCATGGAAGTTGGAGTCCAAATTGAGTGGGAGAAGAGGTTAGATCAACTTTTTTTCCTTTGTCCTCTTTCATAGACACCATCAAGAACTTGGAATCAGCATATCCCAGAACCCTTTGCAAGAGATGAACTCTGTCTTGGCAAACAACGATACAAAGTCTGTCAACTCAAGATGGATATTCCTGTTCCTGCAAGAAGAAGAGAACACTGCTGTATCCATGGATACAGAATGTCTTGTCCATAGCAGGTGCTAAAAATCTCAAAATTAATGAGAGACAGACACTGAAGTTCAATCTGGCAGGGCATGCGGCAACAGAGGTATGAGGAGGCATCGCCTACAGGGGTACAGGGATAAATGCAGATTTAATTAGGATTGCTTGGTAGGAAGAGGACTGAAGGAAGGATCAATCTGGTTTGAGACTATAAGGTGCCACCTCCTCCTCTGCACTTATCCAGCACATTAAGTTCCCCCCATCACTGTACTTCCATGATGGGAAAGATCTCTCCTTCCGAATTTATCCATCTGTCAGACAGCTGTGAAAAATAGAGATCATGCAGGATGAAAAAAAGTGGTAGGGTGGCAACCCTATGTGTGCACTGTGTGCCTTCAAGTCATTTCCGACTTATGGTGACCCTGAGGCAAACCTATTATGGGGTTTTCTTGGCAAGATGTGTATTGGTTTTTTCAGAGTAGGTTTGCCATTGCCTTCCCCTGAGGCTGAGAGCATGTGACTTGCTCAAGATCACCCAGAGGGTTTCATGGCAGAGCATGAATTGAACCCTGCTCTCCAGAGTCATAGTTCAATGCTCAAACCACTATGCCACACTGTGGCAACCCTACTGGAGCTTATACACACAAGTACATACATAAATTTCCTATGAATGTGACAGAGTCGTTTTCACACACAGGGAGTTACACAGAGCTGTAGAGTTTCAGTCATGGAGTCAAGATTTGGAAGTCATTCTGGATGGAGTTAGACTTGTTAGAAACATTCCAATTCCAAATCTGGCTGCATAATAAAAACTTATAATGTGATAACAATATATGCATTATGTTCTGTTGGTTTTAATTTTATATATTCTCTCATTTTAAGGTACTGGTATATCATTTGTTTTTGTTAAAACCCTTTAAATGTATTAAATATTTAGTTTTTTGCATATTTACTTTCACAAGAATTTATGACAGTTTTCTTGTTCAGAAAGTTTAATGAAATACAGTCGTCTCTCCTGATTCACGGGGGATCTGTTCCAGACACACACACACCCTGCAAACTGGGAAAAAAATCACAAATATCCAAGTACCATTGGATATAATGGTCGCATCCTCCTGCATGCGGCCCTGCACATGCGCCACAGGCACACACACCATTTTGTCCCTCCTGGCTTCCCATACTTGGAAATTCAAGATCACGAATGGAAAGTCTGTGAATGAAGAGGGATGACTATAAATATACTTTATCTTCTGACATGGGAAACCTGATGGTCCACGTTGTGGTGATGAAAGGTCTTATGCTATCATTTTCCTACAGTAATAGTAAATTTGCTATTACTAATTAATATACATTTGCCATTTATGAAGGAGTCAGAGCTGGAGTTGGTCAGCAGAATAACAGTGGAAATGGAGATAAAGGTTTGGTGTACCAAGTCCCAATTCAACAGTCTTGGTTACAACCAGTTGCAGAGGGGAAGCTAGGTGATAATGCAAAAGAGGGACACAGCAACATGGAGCACTATTCGGTTCTCACAAATGGGACTAGACCAAGGCTGGACATGTACAGTCCTCCAGATGTTGTTGGGCTGCAACTTTCATCCACTCCAGGAAGCACAGCTCATGGTGCAGGATTATGGAAACTATTGTTCCACAATCTCAGGAGAATGATAAGTACCCACTCCTGGTCTAGTATATGTCAACCAGAATTCTTGACTGTCTATCTATGTATTTGATGTATATGCCATCTTTCTCCCAGGCAGCTTAAGCAAAGTAGTGTAAAACAGAATCTTAAAAGTCCTAATTAAAACATAATACCATCCAGTGTGGTGTAGTGGTTTGAGCGTCGGACTATGACTCTGAAGATCAGGGTTTGAATCCTTCTCAGTCATGTAAACCCACTGGTGACCTTAGGCAAGTCACACTCTCTCAGCCTCAAAGGGAGGCACTGTCAAAAATCCCTCTGAAGAAATCTTGCTAAGAAAACCTTGTGATAGGCTTGCCTTAGGGTCGCCATAAGTCAGAAACCACTAGAAGACACACAACATTAAAATCATGCCATCAAAATGCACAGAGTTCAGGCTAACCTTTCTTTATTCACCTTCCATTTTTTTACTTTTGTCTTTATTTTGCCGATCTACAGAATCAAACACTTGGAAGGGACTACAAACACTTGGAAGGGACTATCCAAACTCTTAACGCAGGAATATACAACTGAAACATTTCTGAAAGATCCCCATCCAACCTCTATTTAAAGACCTCCAAAGAAGGAGAGTACACCACCTTCTGACTCAATCTATTCCACTGCTGAAACCCTTTTACATTCAACGTGTTCTTCCAAATGTTTAGACAGAATCTCTTTTCTTGTAATTTACCATATATACAGTCTCCCCTCTGTTCCCACAGACTTCAGGTCCATGGTTTTGCATATTCACAGAGGGGCGACATCCATTAAAATTGGTAAGTCTCCATTTTCGCGGTGGGGGGTCTGGAATGGATCCCCGCGAAAACAGATAGCCTGCTGTACTCGACTATAAGTTGACCATACGTATAAGTCAAGGGCAGGTTTGAGGGCCAAAATTATGGAATTTGATATGACCTGAGGGTAAGTCGAGGGTAAAACTGAGGGCCATGTAACAAAGGATCTAAAGGATGAAGCAAAGGAAAACAATGCCAAAGAACTTGCAAAATTCCAGCAGGCATAACTATTTGCACTCATACTAAAGGCTGGATGGATGAGGGAATAGATGGGGTCAGTGCTTCCAGGACAGATTATGCTCTTGCCTTTCACCAGGGGATGATTCCTTTTTAAAATAAGAGTTAAAGTACAGTACTTACATTGACCCATAGATAAGTTGACCTAGGTTTTTGGGGCCAATTTTAGACTAAAATTTCTAGACTTATACATGAGTATATACAGTAAATCCACTGGTTTGTGTTCTAGTCTCTGAAGCAGCATGAAAGAAGTCTGCTTCATCTTCTACCTGACATTCTTAGAACTGTTTAAATATGACTATCATATCAAAGTGTAGTGGTTTGAGCCTTCAATGATGACTCTGAAGACTAGTGTTCAAAACCCTGCTCCACCATGGAAACCCATTGGGCGACCTTGGGCAAGTTACACTCTTTCATCCTCAAAGGGAAGTAAAGGCAAACCTCCTCTGAACAGATCTTGCTAAGAAAATCCCATGATAGATTTTCCTTAGGGTCACCATAAGTCAGAAATGACTTGAAACAACTTGAGGGCACACAACAACAACAACAGCAACAACAATCATATCCCCTCTGTCTTCTCTAGGCCAAACATCCCTGGCTCTGTACCAAGAACACCAATGAAGACCATTGTAACAACTAGTAAAATATTAAAATGTTAATATTCTAGTGAATTTCTTAACCACTGGCAAATGTTTTTAAAAGGCAGGACTTTCCTATTTGGCAGTTAAGAAATTCACTTGGCTTTCGTCTTGCACATCTATAATGCATAATCCATTATACACCTAACTTCTAGAAACAAGCCACTGCTCTGGACTGACGAAAAACTGAAAGGCCGGTGATATCATTTCCATCCATTAATTCACTTCAAAATACAGTCAAAAAGCTCTTGTAACACATAACACCTTTAAACTTTTAACAGTCACAAATTCCTGCTAGTTACTGTTGAAGATATGGTCAGAGGGCTTACTGAACTTTTTCCTCTGGGAGCTATAAACAGTTTTTGGAAAGTATTTTTTAAGTACAACTTCCAGAATCCCCCAGCTACCGACTAGCTGGAGGATTTTGGGAATTGTGAGACAGTGTGGCATAAAGGTTTGAGTGTTGGACTATGACACTGGTATGAGAAGAATGAGCCCATGGGTCTAGACAGTCCTCTTCAGCATGTACCCTCCACCAGAAACTGAAAACATTACTTTTGGTACTATAGTAAAAAAACATTACTTTTGGTACACATTGAAACCTTGCACCCCTGGATGGCTTGGACATCTCCCCCAGCCAGCATGACAGACAGTCAAGGGTGTTGTAGTCCAAAACATGTAGAGTGCAAGGCTTAGAAAAGTTACTTTTTTAAAAAAAATATTTATTTAGACAGTCTGCTCTAAGTATAACATTATACAAATGGTTTTTTTCTTTTCTTTTTAACATTAAAAACAACAACACTAAATTCAATACCTGTATATCTATAATACATTTTATTTCCCCCTAGTTTATCATTAAATTTCTGATAGCTTAATAATTTTTGTCACTCCATTATTTCCATATTTCCCTTGTCAGGTGTTCTGCGTAATCAACCTCTAACAAAGAAACTTCATCCAAACATAGGACCTTATCACACGGGGGTCCCAAGCAGAAGGTATCCAAAGCTAATACGTATTTTTTTTCCCGTGTGTTTACACATTTCCAAAGGCAATCCAAAGCTAATACGTATTTTTTTCCCGTGTGTTTACACATATCCAAAGGCAATCCGGATCTAATACGTATTTTTTTTCCGTGATCCGAAGTGAAAGGGGATCTTTTGACATTCGGTTTTTCGGGGAAGTACAAGGGAGCTTTTGGAATCATTGCGCAATGGCCGTGCAGGCGAAATTCAGTTTGTTTCGGTATAGAACTGAATTTATTCTTACTTCGGTTAGTTTTCGCTTACTTTTCGCTTTGTGGCCAGCGTTTGATAAGGTCCATAGTAAATACTTAAGAATCAATTGCGATTAGAATGATAAAGTAAAATAACATCAAAAATCACATCAATAGTAATCTGACACTGACCATTTTGTATTTTCCCATTTTGTAATGATAAATGTATATAATGTAAGAGCTTTCCATTATTCCTTCCAGTGTTGTATGATTGGAAGCCAGTCTTCTTCAACAGTTTCAAGTTGAAGCACAGCCTGGGAGGTGTAGTTTGAAAAAACAAAGTTTTCTAAGCCTGGCACTCCATATTTTGGACTATAATACCCCTGGCCATCTGCCATGCTAGCTAGGGGAGATGTCCAAGCCCTCCAGGGGTGCAAGGTGTAGGCAAGGTGGAGCTGCACATTTTGGCCATCATGATTCTGACATGTCTTCTTGGCCATTGTATCAGTTCTCTTTGTCTTATTGCCATTCTGCTTTAAGGAGATGTTTGGGAGAGCAGGTCAAAGGGATTTGTCTCTTGCATTCTCCTTAAGAGGAAATTTGCACATCAGTTCTGATTATCAATCAGTTGATATGTGTGTGTGCTTCAATGGCCGCAGGGATTGAACCAGTTCTGCTTCATTCCAGTCTCAGATAACACAACCAATTGCACAAGAGAGGAGAAAATTTTTTGTTCCTCTCTCACCTGGCCCATATTTTAGCTAGCTGGTACAGGCAAGCAAGAAAGGAATTATTAAAAGGACTATAGATAAAAATTGTAAGCCTATTTGTATAAGTGGTGCTTAAATTGTTGTTGTGTCCCTTCCAGTCTTTCTGACTGATGGAGACCTAAAGGCTTTCTTGGAAAGCTTAAACTGCTTTTAGAATTTCTTTAGCCTGTAGTTCATATGTAAAACCTACACTGATTAGAATGATGCGCATAAATTGCCTCTAGGTACCACTTTATGTTATGCACTAATGGCATTTAAGCATTTCAGCCTAAAGAGCATGCAACTGACTCCCAGTTTCCTCTTTTTCAGCATGTTGTACCTCCAAGTGCCCTCAACATCTTTATCTTTGACTATGGCCATGTCCACTCCTTGTGGTTTTCCCTAAAAAGTATTTGGAAATCACTAGAAGATTGTTCCCTAGTCTACATTGGGTAGGCTACCCTATAATACCAGTGTAAAGGTTTGAGAGTTGGACTAGGACTCTGGGAGCCCTGGTTTGAATCTCTGCTCAGTCATGGTCCCATCCTGACCTAGCTTTAGCAAGGTAATAAAGACAGATTTATTGAGGCTGGGTTTCAAAAACATTTTTTCTCCTACAGCCTGCATGTTTTAAAGATGGTTGAGATGTCTCTAACTAGTTTTGCAATAGTAGCTTAGGGGCTCTTTTAAGTCAAAAGGTAATTCACATTTGGCTTCGGGCCCCCCAATTGTCTGAGGGACAGCAACCCGGCCCCCGGCTCAAAAAGGTTTCTCTAGGCCCTCCAGTGCAGCTCTGCCAGAAGTTGACCACAGAGTTGTACTGGAGAACCTAGAAATTACTAGAGAAAACACTTCTGTGGGCATTTGTAGGTCCTCCAGCATGATTCTATGGTCAGCATCTGGCAGATGTTGACCACAGAGTTGCATTGGAGACCAGTGGCATCAACAGGGTTGGTGTCACCCAGTGTGATAACTCAGGTGTCACCCCCCCACTTGACCCCCTCCCATACTACACCATACAGAATCCTTAGTAATGTTTTGGTACTATTTTACTTATAAAACATAATTTTCATATATCACTGAACGTAATGGTAATAGTTGTGAAATAAACAACTAGCAAAATTCAATGTATATCTTTAAAGTACGATATTATACACACATAATATCTGCAGGGGGAGGTGGGAAATATAAAAATTATTATTATTATTATTATTAATAAATGTATTTACATATACAGAATTTTGTGTGGTTCAAATGAAAATTTGGTAAAATGTAATGTCTGTAAATAAAAATTTAAACATTTTAATTTTTTTAAAAAAAATTTAAAAATTACAATTTGAAATTTTAATTTTTTAAAAAACGCTGAGGCTTCTCCTTTCTCCTCCCATTGATCCTCAGACCACTCACACCATCCCTTCAGCATTTTAAAGAGATACAGGTGAGTGCCACAGCCCATTTCTGCAAAATGCAGATGTCTAAGGAGCAGCGGTGTCACCTGGTGTGGTCCATACCCCACTGGTGATGCCACTGCTTGAACAGTGATTTTTATTTGTGTTTTTTTCCATTTTCACAGGGG